TGTGGATTTTTCTTTCTTCTTGTTCATTTTCATAATATTGGAGTGTTTCCCATGATTCCTAGTTTAATGGTGCCCTTTTCTACCAGCGTAGCAAATTCCGGGTACCTTAGAGGGTTTCTAGTGTTGTAGGGGAAAAACATCACAAAGTTTAGTAAAGCAAAAAGAAAGTTTTATTTGGCATATATTCAAAAGGGCAGAAGTGGGATACGGACAACCACGTCTGCCCGAGCCCAAGGAAATATCACAGAACAGACAAAAGTGGGAAAATGGACAAGCATGTTGCTAGAGCCATGTCTGTCCAAGTCCAAAGAATATTACAGAACAGGCAAGAATGGGAAAACAGACATGCATGCTGCCACAGCCATGTCTGCCCAAGTCCAAGGACCATTACAGAATCACCAGGATATATTTTAACATTACAAATGGGCAAAACCATTGAAAGCTTCACCTTTTCACAGATTGGCTAGAAACTGTGATCTTACATTTTGAATCGTCTTTTTTAACAATCATTGGTACAGGTTTCAGTAATGACAGTCAGGAGGGTCTTCATTGGTCCAACAAATTTCTATTCACTAAATGCTAATAGAAAAAGAGTAGAAAGTCTTTTGTGTTCTGTTTGATTGGCTTTATGTGAAAGTTTTCCTAAAAGATATTTTCCAACATTATCTTAGTTATTGTCTTTATACCTCAGTGCCCAGTTGATGTGTCCTTGTGAGTCCTTATGAGCCCAGCTCCAGCTGGGTCACATTCTCTATGCTCAGGGAGAGGGAATAACTCCAATACTATTTCCTAAATCACTAGCTTGTTTGTTTTTGTGGTGGTCACATTTAATGTTTTTTTATTTTTCCTCCTTTAAATATTGTTACATCTACTTTATATTTGTAAGTACTCTATTTACCGTTGATATCTCATCATCCCTTAACAGTGACAACAGATAGAGATGCATTAGGAAGAAGTCCTGGCTTACAGAAACAAGTCCAAACTTGCTAGAAAAGCATTATAAGGCTCTCCATGACCTCACTTTCTGCATCTTCCATTATAGAAAATAAAGAGGAAACTGATATATTATGTAACACAGACACAAAGCTGCAGGAGTTCAGAGAAGGTGGAAAAAAAGAGTAATCAGGGAAGGTTCCAGAGAGATTAGTAACACAGGGCTTAAAAAATGAGTATATTTTGAACAGAGAGGAAAGAGAGATGTACATTTCAGCTGAAGTCTGAGCAATGGAGGCAGCCATAAGCATAGCAAGCTCATGGTTCAAAGAAGTCATTATGATTAGAACCAAAGGTATTTATGAAGGAAGACTGAAAAATAAGGAGGTACAAGTAGGTCTGGGCTATGTTATACCAACTTGGTTTCTGGTACATAGAACAGAGTTGATTATATTTGACAGTAAGCCAGGTACAGAGAACAAAAATCCAAAACAGTGTTGCTCATTCTGTGTATCCTAATTCATGGCACTGGAAGAGATTTTTACTTTGATGTTTATTCTTAACTTAAAAGCAATACTCTTGACTAATTCTGGATGAAATATACCTCTTTATTTAAGGTCCCTTTTGAAAAGATACAAATGAATGTCTATAAACTAAATTACATTTTCTTTAGATAATACATAATCTTATAATTAAAAGGACAGAGACCTAACATTTTAGGCATGTTTTTTAGCAAACAGCAGGAATGGCAAAAATCAAGAAAATAAAATTACTAAGACTCAAGATTCTTCTTGCTTCATCATTGTAATAGTACCTCAAACCAGTTACCAAGTAGAAATGAATTTAGTACTTATATGAGTCATAATGATTAAACAGACAAATTTATTATAGGTCATTAACCAGAGCATTCAAGAGAATGTAAGCATTTTCCACCCATCACATTATGTTAGTAATTCTGGCCATATGAATTATCCATGACTCTATCACATAAATAGGGTTGCTATGAGTCAGAATCGACATGACGGCAGTAGGTTTGGTTTTTTGGTTCTCTATCATATATTCCTGCCAACACTCTAGCTCAGATTTCTACATGCCCCAAGATACACGGAAATGGCTAGCAAATGTTGCTTCTTGTATTGCGTCAAAGAATAGAGCACTTCTGTGGTTCGAACAATCTTTTATTACTCAGAAAATTTAAGGGATAATTTGAAAACTAAGTTAAACCAAAATTATCTTTCCAAAATAAATACAGTTGAACTAAACCAAACCTGGTGCCAATGAGTCGATTCTGACTCATAGCGACCCTATAGGACAGAGTAGAGCTGCCCCATAGGGTTTCCAAGGAGTGGTTGGTGGATTTGAACTGCCAACTTTTTGGTTAGCAGCCATGCTCTTAAACACTGTGTCACTAAATTATATTGTTATACTAAAGACTGTATTAACACTAAATTAAACAATGTAATGTAGAAATTTTACATGGAGATAGTGAGCACATATGTAACAATTCACTGTTATGTAAGTTGGTTCTGTGATTAGTACAAAGCATGATGCATCAAGATGGATGTTATTCCATTCTGGACACAGCATGATCATATTACATGAAAAATGTTAGCATGTATCAAACAATGGTTACCTCACGATAGGGGAGATCCACATTGGAAATGTGGTCAAAGGAGACTTTAAATTTATTTATAATGTCATAATTTTTCAAAAAAAGAATGCATTCATGTAGCACGTGTAATTAAAAATCAGTTAAAAATTAAAATCTCTATACACTACAAAAAGGGAAACAGAAGCCAAACTAGATTGAAAAACAAACAACAGACTAGAAAAAAATATTAAAAATAAGCTAATAGCATGTAATTTTACTAACTGATGTCATTTCTGAGTCATCATATAACAATAATCACAAAGTATTTGGTATGCTGCATTTGACAATTGGCAGCATACTGATGTACACATAGAAACTTTTAGAAAAAAACACTTTATAGATAAGTCTATTAGTGGGCACTGCTAGCATACAAATTACGTATTTTTAATGTTTTGACTAGTAAACATTAAAAAGGCAATAGGTCATTTCATTTACTATTCCTGATGCAGTTATTATTAGTAGCTGTTATTAATAATCATTAAGTAGAAATTTCAGAAAATTAAGTTGGGGTTAAGAAGTTGTATAGAACTGAGAAATATAACTCTTGGTAAATGCAACAAAAAAGTAAACTAAAAGCAAACTAAATAATAACAAAAAAGTAAACTAAGGAAAACAAGGATATAGGAATGTTAATATAGATGTCAAATAAATAAAACACAGGGTCTTATTCAACTAGGTTGAATTTTCAACTAAATAGAGATTTAGTTTCCCCAAATCAATATATTCCTACATATTAATCAACAACAAAGTTAAATATATTTGTGATAGACTAAAATAAATTTCTGTTTTTAAGTTAGGTTACTATCACTATCTGGTATCGGAAAGCTAGAATATGGTATTATTTTTAGATATTTTGCATTATCATATTTAAGAGTCAATTATATAAAAACAAATTTGACATCTAAATAAATTTGACTGATTTTCTTAAATCAATAAAAACTAAAGACAGATACAGTTTCTCAGCACTGGAAACATTTTCTCAAACATACTCAAAACCACAAAAGGCTTTAAGAGTTCTAAGTTTAGATGGACTACAAATCAAGAATAATTCTACAATGATTTACTTTGTTTATGTCTAAGATCAAAAGTGGGCAAGTAATCTTCCTATGTAAGAAGCCTAGGTTAATGAATTAAAGTAGGATGCAATCATAGTTTCTTCAGAGCATTTTACAAGATAAACCCATGCCGTCAAGTTGATTCTGACTCATAGCGACCCTACAGGACAGAGTAGAACTGCCCCGTAGGGTTTCCAAGGCTGAAATCTTTATGGAAGCAGACTGCCACATCTTTCTCCCATAGAGAAAAAAATCGCTGACCCTTTGGTTAGCAGCTGAGCACTTTAACCATTGCACTACCAGTGCTCCTTTTATACAAGATACTGTAAAAAAAAATCATAATAAGTAGATTTACCAGTAAAACATAAAGACTTGCTAGATAACTCACCATGTTGTTTACTGCCTTTATCCATTCCTTTCTGTAATTTGTAACACAGAGGAGTTCAAAGAGAACAGTATCACTGGCTCTGAAGAATTACTGTCAAGCTCACACTACCATAACCATTTCTTGCCTATCTAGTAACATCAAGAAATAAAAGTTACTCATTCCTTGGACCCCCAACAGGAATATTCTAAGAAAGTACTTTACAGGTCATCTTCCCCTAAAAGAACTTAGATTCTCTAAAATACAGCAATGTTTGTATTTTCTACAAAAGGGGCATGGTGTATTTGAAAGTTTATTTGCTTCCTTAAAAAAAAAGATGAAGCAAGAAATCTGGATGATATACAGTAGAAAGCTTTTTCAAGAAGTATATATAAAGTCCTCTCAGAAAACTAATGATACTAAATAGGTTTATAATTCTCTACTTCAGCTTGTATGTAATCCTGCATGAGCCCTATCTTAATTTATCCATTCGTGAAAAAGTCTTCTATTATTAAAAATATTGTGCCACATCACTAAAAAGTTAAGAGTCTTTAGATGAGAGAATTTTATTTACAGAAAATTCACAAAGAATTAGCAAAATGTTATAAACACAATTTTGTTGGTAATAATTAGCAGAATCAAGAGTGGTTAGATATATAATATCACTTAGTATATAATGCACATTAAAATATATTTTATGCTAGTTTTATCCATTGGTTTTTGATGTTCCACTTTGTAACAACTCTACAAATAAGGCAGTATAAACGAAACAGATTTGTTCAATATTTTAAAAGTATTCTACTTTCTATGTCAAATACTACTTCAACTTTAAAATCATCTGAAAATTAAATGACCTTTCCATTAAATTTCCTATATTCAAAGAAGTACCAAATGGAATTCAAAATACATAAAAGAAACTGTAATAAATTTATGAAGAAAAATATTACTTTAGCAACATCATAAATTAACAAAGAATTTTCCAAAGAATACTGTGTGAGATAAGGTGCATAAATGTTTTATAGCAGTTAAGTCTAGAATAACTTTTATCTGCATTTTTGTCCATATAGTTTAAAACATGAAAGCGCTAACTGAATGAGAAAGGACCATTTTAAAATGAACAGATGACAGCAGGCGTCATTTAAGGATAAAAGGAAGATGGACTATGTGCTTTGATTTGCAAATAACATTCTTTATCCAAATAGTCCTCAGTGTTTCCATTATCCTTGAATGACAAGATTCTTTAAGATTGCATGAAAAGGATGACATCCTTTTACTGATGAAAGGCTTCTAATCTTACTCGGTTTGGGTCTTCGGGATGTCTCAAGGCAATTCCATTACGCAGCAGCAGCTCAATATAAGGTGGCCAAAAGGAATCACTAATTTTGACATATGGATCATGTGGAACATCAAATAATTTATTTATAAGAATCTAGGAAAAAATATTCAAAATATACTTTACTTGGGAAAAAGCTGGTACAGCTATAATAAAACATTAAGAAAGTTTTTCATAAAACAATGTTGATCTCCTTTCTCCTTAAACAGTTGTTTAAATCATGATACTTATGAACTAACTTATATAATTGATTTTCCTTTTTTAAAGACTACAGATGTTTGTGGGGGGAAAAAGTCTTTAAAGTATATCGCTGCATTTTAACTTTGAAAACTCTTCCTAAAATCTGGTTAAAAAATAGTTATAATTCTCCCACTTAAGATTTACAATTTCTTTAGGATATAAGTTTAGTTATAATCACTTCTAAAACATAAAAATACAAAACTTAAAAAATCAATTAACTACTCAACAAAATACACAAAAAGTTCAAAAGAAAGTAAGCGTATATGTTTAATATTTGAGGAAAAGAAATTACCTAAAAATAAAAAAATGTTGAGAGGTTACAACCACAAATTAAGAAGTTTTGAGTAATTTATATTAAAATTATATGGGCTCGGAATCTTTGTTTAGCTAGCACTGAGTTTCTGTTTATGGGGATGGAGATTATAGTAATAGATGTTGGTGATAGTTGCACAATATGATTGATGTAATTTGTTTCACTGAATTGTACAAGCGAAAAACGATGAGTTGGCAAATGTGTTACCTATACTTTTTACAACAATTAAAAAAAAAAAAACCTATACAGGCTGGCATTTCCCAAACTGCATTCCATGGAATGCCTCCCTAAAAGATGTTCTTAGTTCTTGAAAAGCAAGGTTCTGTGATCAAATAAGCTTGAGAAAGATTGTTAATGTGCACTGCGAATCACTGTCCTTCCTAAATCCATAGGCATTAGGATATTTTTTTCAAAGAACACATATTTACAACTCTTTGAACACTAATATTCTATGAAACACCATGAAAAAATACTAAACATACTCCAATTACTATTCTCCCGCCTGAGCAACATCCCAGTGCCTTCAGAAATTACAAAATCAGGACTTAGAAGAATTAAGGGGTTCTTCAGGGGCAAATTAGTGGCAGATCATGGATCATATTCCATATCTCTGAACTGTTGGGCCAAAGCATTAACTGAAAGATACAATTATTTTAAGGAACATGGAAAAGTGAAAACATCATACAAGTATAAAGTGCCAAAGAAATTAATAAAATTAACATTTCAAGTGCTAATTTCAATCATATTTCCTATTAATATCAATATCTCAATTCATAAAGTAACATTTTCATCTATTATTAACTTCAGCTATTTCAAGCCTTACCACCTGGGAAAAAAAGCTTTGGCCTCATTTCTTTCAGGTCCATGATTAAGAATTAAATATGATTCCCATTTTAAAGCAATGCTCTTTTTAATATAATTTAACATCTTTCTAGTTTTTCATTTCTAATCTTAATTATATTAATTGAACTTACAGAAAATGTCAGAAATAGTTAAATACTAAAATCCAAATCTAAAACATTTACATTGTTTTAGTTTTCACTGAATTGCAGTTTAAATTTGGTTACTTTTATCATTGATAATATAAGCCTAGGAGACAAAAATGGTTTGTAATTTTAAGTTTTATATGGTATCACATAGTATACCTTTTAAAAATTATACATGTATTTCAGTTAATATCTGTTAATATTTGTCACATAAATAACAACCTTTATTTAAAAATGTTAAGTCATCCACAAAAAACAGTAGTCTTAATTTCACTACAAACTAGAGTAGCTAGCAGCGCATAAAAAGGTTCTAATCATAACAAAGATTTGTATTTTGCTTTTCAAAACAATAATATTCTGTATTTAAGATATTCTAAGGCATCCAAACTAGTTTGTTGAACAAAAAACGAGACTTAGTACTCAATTCATAAAATTACAATGAAACTTATTTTTTGAAATCACTCTTTCTTTTAACCTTAACAGTGATTTTAAAAAAGGCACACTAATTGCTAAATATCCTACTTTTTGTAGACTATTTTATCTTCCACTCTGCCCCATTTGCCTTGGATGGCCATACTGAGATCTTCTAAAGTACTAAACACATTTGATAATTTGGCTGAAGTTCAAAAATATTTTTTAAAACAGGTTAAGGTTATTTGTAAAAGAAAGTGAATGTAAAGTAGATGAAGTTAAATTTACTCAGCCCTTGCAATATGAAAAATGACCTGATGTTATTTAAAGAAAAACTGCACAAATTATCAAAATTTTGTGGACAGAATCCTTAAGCTCACTTATATATTTTAAACAGAGCATAGTTGCCAACTAAACATTGCATCATGTAACAGCATAGGATTTTACTAAGTAAATTACTAAATAATCTCATAAAAATATTTTTAAAAGTGTTTACCTATAAAGAAATCTTGGGAATATGATTCAGGATTAGATTTTAATTTCGAGTTCATTTAAAAAACAATATTCTTTCCAATACTGTACAGAAATTAATTTTGTATTAATGATAAATTATTATAAATATATTTATAGAAGACTAATGTCTACATTAAGATCTAAAGCAGTATTTTTTCTTTTTCAAGCCTGTGTGTGGAGTCCTTGGGTGGTGCAAATGGTTAATGTGCTCAAAACCAAACCCGTTGCCGTTGAGTCAATTCCAATTCATAATGACCCTAAAGGACAGAGTAGAACTGCCCAATAGAGGCTCCAAGGCTGTAATCTTTACAGAAGCAGATTGCCACATCTTTCTCTCATGAAGTGGCTGGTTCATTTGAACTGCCGACCCTTCAGCTGGCAGCCAAGCACTTAACCACTGAACCACCAGAGCTCCTTTCATGTGCTCAGCTGCTAACCAAAATGATGGTGGTTCAAGTCCACTTAGAGGCACCTGGGAATAAAGGACTGGCAATCTATTTCCAAAAAATCAGCCACTGAAAATCCTATGCAGCACAGTTATACTGAGACACATGGGGTTGCCATGAACCGGAATCAATTCCACGGCAACTGGTTACTGGTCTAATTGTTCATGAATCACTAATTAAGAGAAACGTTCAAGACAGAAAAATTAAACCTCACAAAACACTTACCTCCAACATTTCATGTAGTGTTATCAGCTGTGCAGTTGGTTCTTGCAAGTTTTTCTTTGAGAGAAATGTGAATACAAAAAATTAACATTTCAATTCTGCAGTGGCAGAATATTACTGTATCTGTTATAAAATTTAAAAAATTAACATTTGATAATTGTAATGGCACAAGATTGTTATGGACTGAATTATGTCCCCCCAAAATATGTGCTGAAATCTTAACCCCTGTACTTGTAAATATGACTCTGTTTGGAAATAAAGGTTTCCTTTTGTTATGGGAATGAGGTCATACCAGAGTAGCGTAAGTTCTAAACTTAATCACTTCTGAGTTATAAAAAGAGCAGAATAGACAAAGACACGCACAGTGGGGAAGACAAACGCCAAAGAACGCCAAGGAATGCCAAGGATTGACAGCGGTCAAGCAGAAACTAGAAAGAGGCCCATGAAGGAATCAACATGGTTGAGACCTTGATTTGGACTGTCAGATTCCATAATTATGAGAAAATAAATTTCTGTTCTTTAGAGCAACCCACTTGTGTATACTTTGTCATGGCAGCATTAAGTAACTAAGCAAAAAGTATACTAAAATCAAACACTCAAGATTAGATGCTTTAAAAAGAATTCTCAAAGTAAACAATCTGATTGTTCTTAACTGTAAAAACAAAAAATGAAGTTGAACCAACTTTATGACAGTAAAAACTTTTATAATTAGTAGAAGATACAATTGAAACTATCCATAAATACTAGATAAATAATATTATACATATTAGATATAATCAGATAAAAGAAAGTCTAGTGTTTGAACCCCCCAACAAAAATTTCCCAAACAAATGATATCCCAGACTACTGATACAGCTTCAGGACAGGGAACATGCTTCCCAGGGAACCTTGTTCATCTTTCTACAGCTCGTGACAGTTTCTCATGTTAAGTCCACTCATTGATTCCTTTCTCTTGGGATAACAGAGAATAAATCTACCATATTTTACAAGAATAACATGCACTATACATTTTTTGTCAACTGCACAACCCCCTCCATGTTATTTTCCTATGTGCACTATGCACGTTATATGTGTGTGTGCGTATTATTTACGAAAATGCAGTATTTCGATTCCACCCAAGAGTTCTTCAAATATTTGACAACAGCTACTATGAGCCCCAAGTCTTCTCTTCTTCTTATTAATTATCATTAGTTCCTTCAAATATTTTTCATATGCCATAGTTTTGAGGTCCCTCAATATCATGGTTGTTCTCTGAATGTACTCTAATTTGTCCTTTTTTTTTTAAATCCAGTCTCGACAATGATCTAGGTGATTTGACCACAAAAGAGGAAAAAGAAGACATATCTATATTTGTAAATGCTGGAATTCTATTTATTAATTTTAAGATTGCATTAGCTTCTGGGCATCTATTTCAACTTGTTGACTTCTATCTGAGGATACTATCATCTAAGATGAGAAAGTCTTTTTTATACATCCAGCTAAGATACATCTCTCTCATTTTTTTAATGTTTTAAATTCGATAGAGATATTCTATGTATTTCTACTAAATATCATTCTGTTTTATACGGCCCAGTTTCTGGCCAACTGAAAAAATAGTCCTGATTCTGTCACCCAATATATTTACTATTAGCCCATTTAGTTGTATATTGTTTGCAGTTTTTGATAACCATGTCTTCTATTTCTTTATCCAAATTAATGTTGATTAAACAACACACTTTAAATAACCCATGAGTCAAAGAAGATGTTACAAAGCAAATTAGAAAATATTTTTACCTCAAAGATAATGAAAATACAACATATCAAAATTTGTAGATTCTAGATAAAGCAGTGATTAGAGGACAATTTATACATTTAAATGGATATATTTAAGAATATTAAAAGTTTAAAATTAGTGATCTAGCTTCTATTTCAAGAAGCTAAAAAAGAAGAATAAACCAAAGGAAAAAAGAAATTAAATAGAAAACAGATGAATGACTGAGAAAATAAAACTAAAAGTGATTCTTTGAAAGGATTAATAAAATTGATTAACTCCAAGAAAGACTGATTTAAAAAAGACAGAAAACACAAATTATAAATATCAGGCATGATAAAGGGAAGATCACTTATGAACATACAGGCATTAAAAAAACAAGTGTGCTCTACAGAATTTGGAGACACACAAGATTTTTAACTAGGTCATTACATTTTACTAGGGGACATACATATCAGGATCTCTCAAAAAAGATTGAAAATAACTATTCTAGGCAATTTTTGTCATATAATATCCATACTTTGACTCATAACTCAGTAAAGCTGAGATTCCAGGAAAAGAACAGTTAAAGAAAGGGAAAAACTGCAGCTGTGAAATAGGTGCATATGAAAATAGAAGACTTGAACTGGAAAAATTGTCTTTCAAAAAGCTGGCTTAGTTCACCAAATAGCTAGGTTTAATTTACATAAATCCTAAGTCTCAATGACCAAAATTTATGAGTTAAATAATACTTAAACATTTCATTTTACAGAAGTCTTAAATATATTGTCCATGTTTCCCACTTTACAAAAAAAAATAACATTTAATCTCATTTTATTGAATAATCTATTCTAATTTTTCAATAAACATTATAATGTGATGACGGAATATTTCTGTACATGTATCTACGTGTGTATATCTTAGATCTGTATATAAACATACAAAAATTTATCAGAAAGTTCCCATTTGAAACTACCTAAAACAATTTCAAATATGAATATCTACTCTAAAACTTACCTTTTTCTTTTTAACTTTTCCATCAGGCAGAGGAAAATGGTCTTCTAGAAAACCACCCAAGGTAAACAAGAGCGTCTCCTTATATTCTTTTATATTAACCATTTTAGTTTTCAGCTCATTAAAGATTCTAGCAGATTAAAAAAAAATTGAGAAGCATTTAGCTGATAAACTACCTATGTACATGTAACTGGTTACTCGTAAAGTTGATCAAAAACTCTGTTCAAACTTCACTGCTTAAACCAAATAACTAGCTTTATGAAGTAATACTTTCTTTTTAACATAAAGGGAAACTAAAAGTACAATCAAGTCAAGTCATTGAAAAAAGACTGTGTAATTAATAACTGGCAAAAGTTAGGGAAGACTCATGATTCCTGGTAACATTTACCTTCTTTCCAACTATGCATTTCTTGTAATGTAAAATGTAAAAATGAAAATACTTTTCCCTATTTTAAAAACCTAGAACACAAAATTAATACCTTGATTCAGAAAATGGTACAACCTGGTTTTTCAGTTCATTGTATACTGTATTAAGAGATTCCAGTATCTGTTCTTGTTCATCCAACCACTGTTGCTCCCTTTAAACATTGAGGAAAAAAAAAAAGCCAAATAAAACATTAATTGCCAATTCAACATTTATCAGTGCTTAACAGTATTTATAACATAAACAAAGGAGCCACGGTGATGCAGTGGTTAAAAGAGCTCAGCTGCTAACCAAAAGATTGGCCAATAAAAGTCACCAGCTGCTCCACAGGAGAAAGATGTGGCAATCTGCTTCTGTAAAGATCACAGCCTTGGAAATCTTATGGGGCAGTTCTACTCTGTCCTATAGCATTTCTATGAGTTGGAATTGACTCAACAGCAATAGCTTTTTATAACATAAATATACCTTTCCAAGTCTTCCTTTAACTTTTCATTCTTTGACTGAATAGTAGACAGTACCATTTCCAGATCATGTCTCAATTTTTGGAACTGGAACAAAATAAACCAAAGAATTATTTAGTTTTTAATCCTATGAACAGTTATAGTTCTGATTTACACTGAAATTTAAATGTTGATCTAGGATTAATACTTCAGTTCAGAAATCAGTAGCAAACAAATGTAGCAACAAGTTTTTGAAAAGGTAAATATATAGCAGGTGCTAAATTTTTTAAACATTCCATGGTTAAATGCAAAAAATATAAGGAGTTTTAAGTAATATATTTTAATTTCATACTAAAAAGCAAATAATGGTGAGTTTTCAGTAATCAGGTAGATTAGATCTCTTTTCTAAGGAGACTATGCAAAAACAGACACAAATGAAAATTACTCATTCAACAAATATTTACAGATCAGTTATTGACTACCAGACATTGCTGAAAGAATGTTAAAAAAAGTACTTCAGAGGGGAAGAATATACTAGATAGAAATCTAGACTCAAAAATAAATAAATAGAGCACTGCAAACGGTAAAAATGCAGATAAATACAAAAAAAGTTTTTTTCTTATTTTTAACCTCTTTAAAAGATAACTGGATGTCTAGAGGAAAATGGTAACAATGAATAATGGAGTTTGTAACTAATAGAGAAGCAAATTATATCATAGCAATTGCACAAAGGTTGAAATAAAAGTATACTAAGTTTCTTACATTACATGGAAAGTAGTATATTGTTTGAAGGTAGACAGTGATGAGTTGCAGATGTATATTATAAACCCTAGAACCAAAAACCAAACTCGTTGCCGTTGAGTCGACTCTGACTCAAGCGACCCTACAGGACAGAGTAGAACTGCCCCACTGGGTTTCCAAGGGGAGCTGGTGGATTTGAACTGCTGACCTTTTGGTTAGCAGCCGTGCTCTTAACCTCTGCACCACCAGGGCTCCATAAACCCTAGAGCAACCACAAAAAGAATAAAATAAAGAGGAGTAACTAAAAGTCAAGTACAGAAATAAAATGGATTAATTTATAAAACTACAAAATTAATCCAAGAAACTGGAAAAATAGGACAGAGAACAAGTAGAATAACTACAAAAGAAAAATCAAGAGTGTAGATTTAAACTCAATCATATTGATATTACATTAAATACAAATAGTCTAAGAAGGGAAATAAATTAGAAATCAACAAAGGTTATCTGGAAAAACCTGCAAATATTTGTACAATTAAAAACACACTTCTAAATAATCCATTAGTAAAAGAAGCAATCAACAGGAAAATTATTATGAACTGAATGAAAATAAAAACATAACAAAAATTTGGAGGATGAAACAAAAGCAGTACTCGAGAATTTATAGCACTAAAAGCCTATATTAGGAAAAAAAAAAAAAAAAAGCTCTCAAATTAATGACCTAAGCTTCCACCATAAGAAACTAGAAACACAATAAACGAAAGTAAGCTGAATAAAAACCTATAGTAATAGAGAACAGAAATCAATGAAATTAAAATGGAACAAAATAAGAATAGAGAAAAATCAAAGAAACCAAACACTGGTTCTTTGAGAAGGTCAATAAAATTAGCCAGACCCATTACCAGCATCAGGAATGAGAGCGATGATAACACTACAGACATTTAAAATGGTAACAGAGGGAATGTTATGAACACTTTTATGCCAATAAATTCAGCAAATTAGATGAGATGGACAAATTCTTTGAAGGAAACAAACTACCCATGATCATTCAAAGAAAAAGAGAAAAATTGACTAGCCATAAAGAAATTGAACTTATATTTAAAAATCTTGCCACAAAAAAAACTCCAAGCCTAGATAGCTTCACTGGTAAATTTGAACAAAAATTTAAGGAATAAACAATAACGAGTGTACACAAACTCTCATGAAGAGGAAAAAATACTTCTCAACTCATTTAAGAGGCTGCTATTACCCTGATATCAAAGTCTGGCAAAGGCATTAGGAGAAAAGAAAACCACAGACCAATATCCCCCATGAATACAGATCAAATGCTCTTAATAAAATTTTAGCAAATTATATCTAGAAATATATTTTTTAGAAAAAGGCTAATACATTACAGCAAAGTGGGGTTTAGACCAGGAATGCAGTTAATTAAACAATTGAAATCAATTTAAAAATCAATTAGTGTAATTCACCATATACCATTGCTGCTGAGTCGATTCCGACTCATAGTGACCCTATAGGACATTGTAGAACTGCCCCATAGTTTCCAAGGAGCACCTGGTGGATTCAAACTGCCGACCTTTTGGTTAGCAGCCAGAGCTCTTAACCACTACACCACCAGGGTTTCCACTCACCATATAGACAAACTAAAAAAGAAAAAAAAAACATCTGATCATCTCAAAGAATTCAGAAAGAACAAGTGACGAAATTCAATATTAATTCATGATTAAAAGACTGTCTGTGAATTAGACTAGAAGGAAATTTCCTCAACCTGATTAAGTGCATCTATGGAAAACCTACTATTAACATCACACTTAATGATGAAAGAGTGAGTGCTTTCCCCTAAAATCAGGAACAAGGCAAAAATGTCTATTCTCACCACATCTATTCAGCATTTTACTGGAGGTTCTAGGGCAGTACGATAAGCCAAGAAAAACAAATAAAAAGCATTCACACTGGAAGGAAATAACTAAACTGTCTTTGATCTCAAATAACATGATGATTTATAGAGAAAATCCTACAGAATCTACAAAAAAGCTACTAGAGTAAAGGAGTTTACTACGTTCACAGGATATAAGATGACTGAATTTCTATGCACTGGCAATGAATCACTGGAAATTGAAATTTATAAAGAATACCATTTTAATATCATAAAAATATGAAATATTTAAGGATAAATTTGACAAGATACATGTAACACCTGTGCACTGAGAACTACAAAACCTTGGTAGGACAAATTTAAAAAATCCCCAATAGATGGACAGATCATACAATACTTATAGATTTGAAATCAGACTCAATATGGTTAAATTTCGTATGGTTAAATATGACAATTCTTCCATAATTAATTTTATAGATTTAGGGCAATCTCAATCAAAATTCCAACAAGCTTTTTTGGGAGGTGGAATGACAAGCCAATTCTAAATTTATGGAGCAATGTGAAATAATTTTGAAAAAGAACAAAGTTGGAAAACCCGTATTACCTGATTTTTATTCTTATTTTAAAGCTTCAGTAAACATAACAGTGTGGTACTAGCTTAAAGATAGAAACACAGGCCAAAGAAATAAAAATATCCACAGCACAGATTGGAATACAGGGGAATAGAAATGGAGAGTTCAGAAATAGATCCACATGTATATGGTCAATTGATTTTCAACAAAGGTGCCAAGGCAATTCAATGGAGAAGAGACAGTTTTTTCAACAATTCGTGCTGGTACAACTAGTATCTATATTTTAAAAAAAAAAAAAAAAAAAACTTTTATCAACACAAAAACGCAAACCCATTGCCATCTAGTCAATTCTAACTCATCATGACCCTACAGAACAGAGTAGAACTGCCCCATAGGGTTTCCAAGGAGTGGCTGGTGGATTCAAAGTGCCAACCTTTTGGTTAGTGGTCAAGCTCTTAACTACCATGCCACCAGGTCTCCTTTTATCAATAACCCATATCAGATATAAAAACATTAATTTAAAATGGATCAAGGACCTAAATGTGAAACCTAAAAGGAAAACTTCTAGAAGAAAGCATTCAAGAAAGTCTTTGTGATCTTGCGTTGGGCAAATAGTTCTTAGATTTGACACCGAAAGCTGATTTTAAAAGAAACCTTAACAAAATGGGTTTAATAAAATTAGAAACTTATGTTCTTCAAAAGACACTGTCAAGAGAATGAAAAGAGTACAGAAAAGGGTTAACTCAGCAGGGCTGAGTTGCTCAAACCCTGCAGGTTCCCAAGAAAGACTTGTCTTCAGGAATGGTCCTTGGCTCACTCTTGGGAGACAGGCTCTGAGCACTTGGAATACTTTCCCCGCTAAGAGTATTTTGGTGTGCTTAAGGCCTTGGACAACATGGCACCAGTTTGAATGGCGTAGTGGTTAAGAGCTTTGGCTGCTAACCAAAAGGTCAGTAGTTCAAATCCACCAGGTGCTCCTTGGAAACCCTATGAGGCAGTTTTACCCTGTGCTATAGGGTCACTGTGAGTCAGAATTGACTCAACAGCAATGAGTTCGGTTTGGTTTTTTGAAGGCCTTGGACCACATGGTACCAGTTTGAATAGTGTGATAATAGTGATTTATGGTGAACGCCTATTTTTGTATGCATGAGGCCTTGGGCAACATAGAACTAGTTTGACAAGGTAGTTTATACTAACAATGTGATTTATGGTGAACACCTGTTTTTGCTTTGGGAGCCTGGAGTCGGAGTAACTGAGGTCAGTCATGCAGGCAGTGCATTCCTACATGATGACACCCAATGAAAACCCTGGACATCAAGGCTCAGGTGAGCTTCCCTTGTTTGCAACCTTCACATGTGTTGTCATACATCATTACTGGGAGAATGTGAATCTACCGGAAGAGGACTCTCGGAAATTTGTGCCTGGTTTCTCCTGGCCCCGAGTGCTTTTTCCATTTGCTGATTTTAATCTGTATCCTTTGCTGTAATAAACCATAACCATAAGAATAACACCTTTTCTGAGTCCTGTGAGTTTACCTAGCAAATTATCAAGCCTGAGGGCAGACAGCCCTGACACAATTGGTGTCATAAGTGGGATTCACTATATGGACCCTGACTCACTGAAACATACCAAAAGCATTTTTTGGGAAAAGGAGAGATGGCAGGGTGGAAAGATGAACTTTTGATGCCTGATGGCTACTGAGTCGCCCATGATATGAGGCAGCAGCTGTGCTGTGATCAGTTATCAAAGGTAAGTTACCAATGGAATTTAGAAATGACAGACCCAATTCTTGTGAAGTTAGTTCACTGGATACATAAGAAAATGCAAAGTAGTAAGAAGCAAGCTGTTATTTTTATCTGTAATAGCTAAAAGAAAGTAAAGGAGAGTTGTTGTGGTGGATTCTGGCACAGCACCAAGCT